AATATCTTAAACTTATTTAACACACCTAAGAATGACAAGTAAACTTGTATTCATGGATAATGTCTGAACTCCCCTACTTTGACAGATAATACTCAGTTTGATTAGGTATAGGTACAAGTGTAACAACTCGCCATGGTCGTCACACTACGAATAACACTACACACTACTAAAATATATATACTAAAATAGTATAATAAAATATTTACAACACAAGTTGCTAATCAAGCAACCAACTACAACCAATTATATACAACAAAAATATGCTACTATAAGATAGTCTACAAAAAAAAAATTCCATCTCCAGGCACTTCCTGTGGCCTCTAGCAACTATCTTCAGTCTATCCCTGCCCTGCTCCCATACAACGTATAATCATCGCAGTCCAAACCACATGGAAACATGCAAGGGTAAGCTAGAGACAATAAACAACTCATAATAATTTAATATGCAACATAACAACTATATAATCATCTTCGCATTTGACACACGAGACAAACAACATATATATTATACTTCTTAACAACTTAAACAACATACAACTTTTCAACTCATCATCTAAATCAACATTCAACTTGAACAACATAGTTTATCAGCACAACAACTCATCACAAATTGTTTAACAACACATTTTAACAAAACAACATCTCATTTCAACTTTAAACAACACAATATATTTTCAACACATGGCACAACATACAACTTTATAGCAACATACAACTCTATACTCAACATGCATCTCCATGTAATTATACAACTTCTTATTCAATTATACAACTATGCAACTTTTTTCTAACAACTTAAAAATATTATCATCATGCACTTCACAACATATACATGTCCACACACAACATATAGCAACTACCGGTTCAACCTTTGACCCACTGACCCAATACCTTAACTGATTCGATGACCGGTCCAGTTTTTAAAACTATGTGAGAGAGTGTGAAGGGTTTGATGTGAGGTAGTCAAATCACGTTGGATGAGAGTTGAATTGATGGAGAGTTAAAAGGGTTGAAAAAAAAGGAGAGTGAGGTGTGAAAAATAAAGAAAAATAGAAAATGGTAGGTCAAGGGTCGCTGTAGGAGAGCGTAATATAATTGAGTAGAAAAGGAGGAGGGCACAATCGGTGTTCCTGCATTGGCCATTCCCCCTTATCTCCGAATACGTTGGACACTTGGCCTATATGCAAACATTCGCCACTCGGAGTTACAATGACACAAACAAAAACACAAACACAAACACAAACAACAACAACCTCTAGGGAAACAAACTCTTCTGAAACAACCTCCTCCTCATCCTCAGGCTCACATTCCAATTCTACAACCTCAAAGGCCCAGAAGCAGAGCAGCAAGCACCCGGTGTACCACGGCGTGCGGAAGCGCAACTGGGGGAAGTGGGTGTCCGAAATCCGCGAGCCGCGCAAGAAGTCACGCATCTGGCTGGGAACCTTCGCCACTCCCGAAATGGCGGCGCGAGCCCATGACGTGGCGGCTCTGACCATCAAGGGCCACTCCGCCATTCTCAACTTTCCAGAAATTGCGGACATGCTCCCCCGGCCTCTGACGTGCTCCCCGCGTGACATCCAAGCGGCCGCAACCGCCGCAGCCGCAATGGTTAAATTGGACCCCGTCGCAGAACCCTCGGACTCGGAGTCTTCGGAGCTGAGCCAGATTGTTGAGCTTCCCAACATCGAAGACAACACCGTTGACTCCTCTGCCACGGACTTCCTGTTTGTTGACGTTGTGGACAGTTGGGTTTTTCCATCGGAGACGGAGACGGAGACAGAGGGAATCTTGTTTCCGCAACAGATAGAGTTGGAGATTCCCATTTGCATTTGGGATTCTATTTGACTCACTCCACTTTTCCTCTCAATTTCACTTCCTGTAATCTCTACTCTCTACTCTCCTCTCTATTTCACACCCTTACCTTACCAACTTCTCTTCTTTAATCCCTTTCTACTTTCTTCCTTCTATGCTATTGCTACCTAGTAGAAATACAAAATCTCAATGCCCAATAAAATACTTACTCTCTCTACACAACTATACTTTCACATTTTCACCCTAAACTTCTTTTTTTTTTAAGTTTGACAGACGATTGTACATGTCATAGATTCTTAATAGGCAAACATTACCGATTAGTCACTACTATTTTAAAGCTGTATTTATATATCTTATGCTCCGCGCCAATTCTACACATTTTTAATTTAATTTATGTACATATAACACATACATTTAATTTGGTTCTTGTATCGTTAATTTAGCCATTCAATATATTTTTAAATATAAAAAACCAAATTAAGAATAGGTTATAAAGTCAAAATATAGACAAGAGATTCACTAATTATAAAAATAAATTTACTTAGACTTATTTTATTCAATAATTTAAATTCTATATCAAATTTTAATGATTCATTTGTTAAAGTAAATATTCTTAATATATAGATTAAGTTTACAAATTTTTAAAACATTCAAAAATTATATAATACTCCATTTTATTAATTCAAATCAACATATAATTATTTTTATAATTATATTTTAATTTAAATTAATGAAATGAAGTATTAAAAAATTTTAAATTTTTAAAAAATTGTAAATTAGATTTGTATATTAAGAACTTTTAATTTAACAGTTAAATCATTACAATCTAATATAAAATTTAAGTTATTAAGTGAAGATAATATAAACAAATTTACTTTTAAAATAAATGAATCTTCCCTTAATAATATATATATATATATATATATATATATAAACTAAATTAAAATCACGTAAGGAAATAATCATTAATATAGATCTATAGAGACGGTGTCATGGTGGGACTAAATAAAAACTTGTGTACATATGTAGCTAATTTAATAAAGTTTTATATTTAAAAACTAAATTGAGAATTTATTTTTGTTATAATTACGACGATTCTAGCATACTTGTGAAATTTCTAATTTCTAAAACATAAAACTTAATTAAACACAAGTTAGCAAATTAAATGGCCCAATTTCTTACTAAATTGATGTATATATATCACTACCTAGTATTAGTATACTAGTCTCGTAGGCAAAATGAATTTCAAATCACACTCCTAGTAAAACAAAATATACATGCCCCTATCAAATTAAGTAATTATTCTGATGCTTACTCAAATTCAATTGGTTTTCCTATTAAAGATTATTTTTTTGTTTACGCTATAATAAATAAGATACCAACTATATTAAAAAAAAAAAGTTATCCTACTCTAAACTTTTATTTTTTTAAAAAAAACTATGATTAAAAAACACGTTATACATATGCAGGGACGGAGCCAGGATTTCAATACTGGGGGGCCGAGAATAAATAATATATAATTTATAATAAATGAAAATTAAAATTTCAAAAGTGATACCACATAGCAGGCCGTACCAGAAGTCCAAAAGTTGAATAAAAAAATAAATTTGGGTTATTCATTTAATTATACATATGAGTTTATATTAAAAATAGGGGGTGCCATATAGTAATATATATGTATATAAAAAAAAATTAAAATTGTTGGGGGGGCCGTGGCACCCGTAGGTCCCCCCTTGGCTCCGTGCTTGTACATATGATATTGATGTAGTACGTAGTGTAGTATATAAAGCTATAATGCTTGGAAGCTTCACTGGATGTATTAATGCACTATATACTCTTACTTTAATATATATATATATATAGAGGTTAAAAAGTATAATGCACTCTTACATTAATTATTGATTTTCTTAAAATGATTTTGCTAACTGTCGCTCATAGAAAACAACGGATAGATAGACAGTGGAAAGTTATAATTTAAGAACTTAAAAGTTTTTCACTTCTGAATTAACTTTTTTATTCCTTAATTAATATCCTAACGGATCATTAGTAAAGTCATGTTTTCTTAATTTAAAACATCACATATTCATATATTTATAGTAAAACTTGTTTATAAATTAATTATTAATTAGATACAGAAAATTAAAATGTATTATATAGGTCATCATTTGCCCCTTCTAACGCGTTCTGACTATTAATTTTCAAATAATTAGATAAAAAAAAGTATTTTTTTTCATAAATGACTTCAATAATTATATGGTGATTCTATTTAATTTTTTTTATCTCATTCATTTTGCTTCGTTCACTCATTAAGTATGTAAACATTACTTAGAATAATATTGTTAGAGTAAGTGAATCAATAATAACAATAATAGTAGAAAAAATAACAACAAGTAAAGAAATTAAATGATTAGTGAGTATGAATTAATCCCTTAAACTGTAAATAATCCTTCCATTAAAAGAATGCTAGAAATTGACTGAAGCATGAATGTAAGACAGAGAGATCCTAGAAGAGAAAGGATGGAGCTGTAATGAGTGGAATTAATAAATATAGTACTGCGGCAAGTTACAAAACAATTAAATTAAACATGACAAAGGAAGTTCGAATATTAATTAATCTTAGCATAGAGGATCTACAGCAATTCAATACATGATTTATTTATGATGACAACTTGTCGCCACATCATCCATGCGTCCTTCTAAAATGCTCCAAGCGTGTGGTTCAGCGGTAGGGGTTGATCCACCTTTAAGCAAGGTCAGGGGTTCGAATCCTGCTTTGTGTATGCAGTCGCGTTAAATCTTGGGGCCAGCTATCTCACCCTTTGAGGTGCTTCCAACGTAGCGAGGAGATTAGTCACTACTGTCGGCGGTGAATACTCCAGGGACGAAAAAAAAAAAAATGCCAAAGAATTCATGGCGGTTCAACTTTCCTTTTTATTTTCGTTTACACTAACATTTCATGTTTTTTATTGGATTATTATTTAATGATTATGGATGGGAAAATTGACTAAATTGAATGTATCTCAACAATTTTATTTATTATTTTTATAGTGATTCTATGAATCTTTTCTTTATTAAAATGAACTTTTTATAAAGTAGTAATTAATGTATTCATGAGTCAATCTTGATAGAGGAAAAATAGTATCTTCAATTACAGTTTCTTACAAACAAAATAAAAAATCAAATTTTAATATTTAATTAATAAATACAAATATAAAAAATGTGAAAATTTTGATTATTTTTCATCTCTTTATTTGATATAATGACATTGTCATTTCTCTTAAGTTAATTTTATATTTTTATTATTATAAATCCATCATTTAAGAAAAATAAACCCTTATATATAAACTATAAATGAGTATTTTGTATGAAAATATTTTTAGGAATTTTTTTTGACAAAAAACTTTTTAGAAACCTTTTAGTTTTATATCTAATTTAATTTTTATTTATCACACTTATTTATAAATTAAATTTTAATATTTAAAAAATAAATATTAAATAAATAAAAATAATTTTGTACTATAATTTAAATTATTTATCATAAATTTAAAAAATAATTTATATTTAAATATAGTATTTATTTATGTACAAAATTTATTTATAATTTTAGCCGAATATGAGCATTTACTCTATGTATTGTACAAATAAAAATATTAATTTATTATAATTGACAAATTGGTTGTTGTGACCAATTTTAACTTTAACCGTTGTTTTACTTTATTGTTTTCAGTCTTTTTAAATGTGCAATTGTCAATTTGTCATTAAACTATTATTATATCCGTTAATGTGTTTGTGTCATATTCCATTTCACGCTCATCGCCTTCATCATTAAGCGATTCAGCCCCTCTGTCTTCTAATTTATCATAAATGTTTAATTATTTAAAATATAATGATAAGTGCTTTTAAAACGTTTTAAAAGATTAAAAAAAAATATTTTATAAAATAAACAAATAAAAAATAACGAAAGTAACACACTTTAATTGATTAGCATAATAAACTAATCCCTTCAAGAACTCTTCAATTTTTTTTTAAGTAGGTGGTAAAATTAATCGTTGAAACTCTATGTCGTTATTAATTTAATTCCTAATTTTAATAAAATTTAAAATTTAAAAAAAAAAAAAATGCCAAAGAATTCATGGCGGTTCAACTTTCCTTTTTATTTTCGTTTACACTAACATTTCATGTTTTTTATTGGATTATTATTTAATGATTATGGATGGGAAAATTGACTAAATTGAATGTATCTCAACAATTTTATTTATTATTTTTATAGTGATTCTATGAATCTTTTCTTTATTAAAATGAACTTTTTATAAAGTAGTAATTAATGTATTCATGAGTCAATCTTGATAGAGGAAAAATAGTATCTTCAATTACAGTTTCTTACAAACAAAATAAAAAATCAAATTTTAATATTTAATTAATAAATACAAATATAAAAAATGTGAAAATTTTGATTATTTTTCATCTCTTTATTTGATATAATGACATTGTCATTTCTCTTAAGTTAATTTTATATTTTTATTATTATAAATCCATCATTTAAGAAAAATAAACCCTTATATATAAACTATAAATGAGTATTTTGTATGAAAATATTTTTAGGAATTTTTTTTGACAAAAAACTTTTTAGAAACCTTTTAGTTTTATATCTAATTTAATTTTTATTTATCACACTTATTTATAAATTAAATTTTAATATTTAAAAAATAAATATTAAATAAATAAAAATAATTTTGTACTATAATTTAAATTATTTATCATAAATTTAAAAAATAATTTATATTTAAATATAGTATTTATTTATGTACAAAATTTATTTATAATTTTAGCCGAATATGAGCATTTACTCTATGTATTGTACAAATAAAAATATTAATTTATTATAATTGACAAATTGGTTGTTGTGACCAATTTTAACTTTAACCGTTGTTTTACTTTATTGTTTTCAGTCTTTTTAAATGTGCAATTGTCAATTTGTCATTAAACTATTATTATATCCGTTAATGTGTTTGTGTCATATTCCATTTCACGCTCATCGCCTTCATCATTAAGCGATTCAGCCCCTCTGTCTTCTAATTTATCATAAATGTTTAATTATTTAAAATATAATGATAAGTGCTTTTAAAACGTTTTAAAAGATTAAAAAAAAATATTTTATAAAATAAACAAATAAAAAATAACGAAAGTAACACACTTTAATTGATTAGCATAATAAACTAATCCCTTCAAGAACTCTTCAATTTTTTTTTAAGTAGGTGGTAAAATTAATCGTTGAAACTCTATGTCGTTATTAATTTAATTCCTAATTTTAATAAAATTTAAAA